CGTACGTCGTACGACGTACGTACGTAGTCGTCGTCGTGTGTGTGTGTGTGTGTGTGTGTGTGTGTGTGTGTGTGTGTGTGTGTGTGTGTGTGTGTGTGTGTGTGTGTGTGTGTGTGTGTGTGTGTGTGTGTGTGTGTGTGTGTGTGTGTGTGTGTGTGTGTGTGTGTGTGGTGGAGGTCTGGGCGTGGTCCCTCCAGCAGCAGGGAGGCAAAAAGTTGAACCCCCTTTCGAGGCCTCCTCCCTGGGATAGACTCAGGCCTCCTTCCCCTCCGGTGACAGTCACTCAACAGGCTGTCATTTTTTTCTGTCTTAGTCTCTCTCTGTCTTATCTAAAGTCTCTGAGGCTTTCTTCCTGCCAAAGTCATCAAGCGAGGCACCCAACTGTGTTACCCAGCTGCCCCAATGGGATTTGATTTAAACCCTTGTGGTGTCCAATGGGTGGCACCTAAATGGGTCCCATCCTGACCACTAAACCACTTCAACAAACTTTACCCGAAGCAGCCAGGCCACTTTGAGGCAGAGCTCCTGAATCCACACATTTACCTCTGGGAAGGTGAGGTGTGGTGTAGTATTTGATATGATGTGTTTTGATATGACGATGTTTACTTTTATGATTTTAAAGGGATAGTTCAGATTGATTAAAGTGGGGTTGTGTGAAGTACTTATCTATAATAAGTCTGCCTACAGTACGGTAGATGACGGATGGCATACTCCCGGGAAACATTGTACTACAGTGGATGGGCCGAGCTGCAAAACATGTTTTAGCCATATTTTATTTTCCATTAACCAGTCTCTAAATAATAGCAGAGCCCATAACGTGTTTTCGGGTGATTTCTCCATTCTTGTCTTAGTTAGATTTTTTGAAACTATCAAAGTGTTCTGAAGGTGCATGCCCAACACCCTGTTAGTGAATACAGAGCAGCAAAACACTTTTCTTCTTGCTGTTAGTAAGTGTTGTGCGCTGGTGTGGACCGCCTCTGGTAACCCCATAATAGTATCTCCACGTGGTTGAAACGTGTAATTTACTTATGTTGTCCGTACCTAATATTTTCTCATCATCCTCAGCTGTACTTTTTTGTGTTAATCAGCAAATGGTTACCAGTAAGTGATGTGAGATGGATAATGCTCCTTTGTTCAAATTCTGCAGCGTCCAATAACAGCATTTTGGGAGAAAACTTGAGAGAAGACAGCAATTTACCTGAACTACAACACCACCTGTTAACACATGAGCATGCTGTTAGCGAGTGTAATTGTTATTATTATACGGGGAATTACACATGTTCTAGTTAGTTAACAAGCACCTTCAAATTGGTGTTTACTCTTAAGATACAGAGTGAGCATAAGAATCGGAAAACCTGTTAAACACATTTTATGAATATTGCAAATCTTTCTTTTGTCTCAATGAACCCCTGTATTTATGCAATGATGTGTCTTTATTCATCAAAGCTGTT